CTCTCACAGGAGAAAGCTGTGCGGGGCTCTATTACCTGAAATAGGGACAGTCCTGATCCTAGACCACGTCAGGTCACAGTCATATTTACTCAGCCTTAAAATTGCTAATTTCAGTCTGGCAAGACCTATATATCTACTGTATGTCTGCTTTTGTAGAAGATCTCATATGGCTCTTTACACTGAAATGCATGCTCTTTGAGAAGTGGCACAACATTGGTTTCTGAATTTTACAGTTACAGTAGGTGATTTAATAGGTTCTCTGTTAGTTAATTGGTCTGATCATTTGATTAAAATTCAACACTTAAAATTTACCTTCTACATCACCAAATATAAATATTTCCAGTTCAACTGATTAATTAGATTACATAAATGAGGAATGAAAAACACAGCAGTGTTCAATGTTCAAGGGCTGGAGCTTAAGGAACCCCAGCTCAAGATTAGGGATGAATGGAGTTTATGGAATCCAGCTCTAGGTCAGGGATGAGAAGTGGTTTTTACTCTACATGTCTAAGGGAACTGGGACCTTAGCTTTTTATCTCACTTGGGCCCTTAATAAATTAACTGACCTAGTTATTCTTTTAGTTTTTCAAAGTTAAAATGTTTTATAATTTGAACAGACTTTTGACACTTGCTGAATTATGGGTCATCAAAACAAGAATGTCACAAATGTAGCACAATTATGTTAAAGAAAAGCCATTCTGGTACTGACACTGATTTCCATTGGATAGGATGATGGGAGGAGAGCCAGCACCACTATGACACAAACTTTTGTTTGGAAATTTGCACTACTCCTGTTTTCTTTCAATATCTGAAAGCAAAACCATTCCTCCAGAAAACATCCTACAACAAAATGTTTGTTGTTTGAATGACAGAATACCTGTATATGGAAATTCTTTTGAAATTAGTTGTTGGTGTTTTAATTCTTTAGAAATTAGTCACTTGGTTGAACCTGGATATTCATATTCTAGGATCCTTCAAGAAAAAGCTGGAACAGACCCTGGGATCACCCAGATGAACATGATGGTTGAGTATTACAGTAGACACTGCTAGTATAAGTCTGAGCCATATCAGGACTTTCACAACAGGTCTTGGACACCACAGCACACCTTCAGTTAAATTGTGTTCATGTTGCAGATACAGTATGTCACTGATTAAGTATACAGTGACAGTATTCACCCACCTTTGGGGGTGAATAAAATAAAAAGTCCCATTTTATTGTTTTACAATATGTAATCATAATGTATTTAAAGGGGAACTGCAACACTGTTTTCATATTTTGGGGTTAGAAAGAATCAGCATTGTTAAGTTCATTTCAAACCTTAATAAAAGTAAAATGTACATGGTAACTTGTAAAACCTACATTTTACATAACGAAAATAGACCAAATTTCCAGGTATGGAGTCTCATATTCTGCGATTCAGAACAAGGCACCAAAACGTCTGGTGACATATGAAGCTCTATGACATTGTAAACACGCAGGCTTATGAATACATCTCTTTTAATACAATAGAAATATTGCTGTTGATTTCAAGATGGCTTTGCCAACAAATGCTACAAATTATTTAACTCTGCATGTAAGTCGCATCAGAACATTTCTGTGGTGAAATGTCTGCTGTACAACCTGTATTCATTCACTTGTACATCACATTAATCATTACGGAGACTCATAAGCAGGAAGGGGGGCATCTCCTTGCAATTCGTGGGAACTTGAATGTGAGTTTGCGACAATATAGCGACTTACAGAACTTTCACAAAGTTTTATGCTTAACTTGAAATTAATTTTCTTTCAATAATGTCAAGAAATTTATTTTTTTACCAAGATTTAATAAGTGGTCTGAGAAATCGGGACCAGTTCTCCTTTTAGAAAATATTCTATAGTTTCAAATTGAAAATAAAAATCTAAATTATAAATGTTAAACAGAAAATAATTGATTGCATAGTTATTCACCTCTCCTAGGTCAATATCTGGTGGAGGCACATTTGGCAGAAGTTACAACCATGAGTCTTGAAAATATATGCCAGCTTTACACATCTGGACACTGCAAAATTTGCCCATTCTTCTTTGTTAAATTGAAGCTGGACGGGGACTTCTGGTAAACTGCAATTTTAAACTCCTGCCACAGTTTGTTTATTTGATTTTGATGTCTGGGCTTTGACTGGGCCACTCCAGAACAAGGACTTTTTTGTTTTTCAGCTACTCCAGTCTGTCAGTCAGTCACTCCAGTCTATCTGTATGTTTGGGTTATTCTTGTGCTGGAAGATGAATCTCCTACCAAGTCCCAGGTCAGTCAGACTGCAGTAGATTTTCCTCCAAGATTTCTCTGTACTTTCCTGCATCCATTTTGCCTTCTATCTTCACAAGTCTTCCAGACCCTGGCATAGTAAAGCATCCCCATAGTATGATGCAGCCACCCATGATAGGGATGGTGTTCTGAGGATGATGTGCAGTGTTATGCTTGCAACAAGAAATGAATTTTTTGGTCACTTCAGACCATAGAATCTTCTTTCACTTGGTCTCAAAGTCTCCCACAACTATAGTAGAGATTTGATGTGAGTGGCTTTTTTAACAATGGCTTTAGTTTTGTCAACTAAGCCCAGATTTGTGAGCTTTTGGTGTATGCAGTTTTTCCCATCTCAGCCTTTGAAAACTGTAATTCATAACATTTGAGGCCTCCCTCAGTTTTTGAGGATGTTCTGCACAGATTTACAGCTGTGGCATATTGTCTCAATTTCTTTATAATGGAATTTACTGTGCTTTAGGGTGCATTCAATGCCATGGAAAATTTCTTATACAATTCCCCTGATTGGTGTTTATCAATAACCCAGTCCCAGATTTGCTTTGAATTTTCCTTTGTCTTCGTGGTGTAGTTTTTGTTGGGAAATGTGGGTTCTCAGAGAGAGTATGCACTAATTTAAGAGATAGATGTAATTAACCTGAATTCATGTGAAAAAGCTTAATTTCACACAGATGGGCTCCATTGAACTAGTTATGTAACTTCTAAAGTGAATTGGTTACACCAGGCCTATTCAGATGTCTTTGTAAAGGGGATGAATACTTATGAAATCAGTTGTTTTCTGTTTTATATGTATTACTAATTTAGGTGGATCAGTAGAATTTTGTTTATTTTGGCATTACACAATGGTTTGTGTCAATCAATGGCAAAACATCCTAACTACATAGATTATGATTCCATATTTTAATACAATAAAAGCCCACATAAACTCCCCTTGAGTTGATAAGAGTGAGAGGTGTATCTGCTGACAGCTGTAGCACCTCTGTGGCTCACACTATATAAAAAAGACTCAGCTGTGGAGAGAATTATTTGCCGATTCCATATATTTTTAAGCAGTCTTCAAAAGTGAATCCACCAGATGATGAAGATGCATCTTTCACATTGAAGCACAAATTAATCAGCTATTGCCTCTTTGAAAAGTTGTTAAAAATGTTTGGAATTCATATTCCCAATATTTAATATTCAGATCCATTTCAGGTTCTGTAGGTTCCTTGATAAGACAATGTTGGTTTTCGCTATACCAAGATTAATTTGTTGAATAAAAGTGAACAAATAATTGTGTAAAATTAAAACATTATTCCACATTTTCCTTTATGCTTCTTCACTACAGTTTGTACGAAAGACATTGAACTTGAAATAGGTCCTCCATGCCAGGGATCTACAACCAAGGCAGTCAAGCCCCAGTTCAGCAGGTGTTGCCGGTCACCATTGAATCACCAGTTTCTAAAGATAACAATTTCTTTATGATCAATTAAACAGGTAATTTGCAATTAAATGATTATTTTAAACTAAAATCTAAGTACTGTTTAGCTGTCAGGGATAAGAATTTTCTTAACTGAACATACAGTATAGTATGACTTGCTTGATATAGGTGCCGCCAATCTTTGAGAATAGATTACCTATAATACTGCCTGGACTGGGGCTCCCCAACTGCTGTGCAAGGTCTGATTTTCACCCCAGATCTAAAAAGCCCCATAGAAGCCCTATGCACAGAGTTCTACAAAAATATTCTTCATGTGTAGAGAAAAATGGAGGACCTAATTAGGACCTAATTAACAACAGGTAAACATGCAGAAGAGAGCAACAGAATATTGGTCGCAGAATTCCTACTACCACAGTGCTTTGCTGATCCAAGAGTTGGGTCCAGAGTGGAGCAGCCTCAGCCAGCTAGTCCTGAAGCTCACTGACACCAACCTTTGAATAGCTCAACCAAAAAAAAAAAACAAATCATCAAATTCACAGGACAAGCCAAACAAAACTACAGTACCTTACTCACTAGGATACACAAATACAACACAAACTTGAATGCTACAGGATCCTAAAAAGACTACACACAACAGCCAACTATCTGACAATAGGATAAGTGTGATAGACACAGCAAGGAAAAACAGAAGCTGATAAAGTATAGCCACAGCCTAAATTGAATAAGGTGATTAGAAATTAAATTCAATGACAAAATAGTAAACAAAGCAAAACAAACAATAGTTAACAGCAAAATCTAAATACCAACATAGATGCTGGTAAACTGGAAGCGTTAATCTGGTCAAATCAAATTGACGAGAGTGAGAGGTGGAGATAGGAGAGTTAAAATGCAAGTTTGGCAAGGGAAATGATATGCACACGCCTCCTTCCTTTATCACCGAAAGTCAACCGCTTGTAATACATTTAGAAAATCCTGTATTGATTTATTCTGTTGACACTACTATGCGTTACCTGTATAGTTTCCAATTTAAATAAACTATGGTCAATGTCATGTTAATACAAATAACATGAATGAAACCTTTATAGTTACACTAAAAACACGTAACAATAACTCTATATTATTTCTCCTAGTTTTATTGTTTTCCGTACATTTGAATGTGACGTGTTTTAAGACTGGTCCCTGAAAATGTTGTCCTGAGTCATAAACGTTTCGTTTCTAACTGTACTTCTATAACATGTCATTGCTTTGGTCTTAGCCCGACTGGGCATGCTCCGCACTGGGGAAGTGGAAAGGGTGTGAGTGTGTCCGCGCGGGGGGCGAAGCGCGTCCTCTTATTCTCGTCCTTCCTACACAAGAATGAAGGAAGAAAGAAGGAGCTGTCCATTTCAGGACCCACAGGCTTCAAACTACGAACAATGAGCGGGAAGACCTCCATGTCTCAGTAATGAACCTTCTTTCTCTGATACGAAAGATACACATTCAACACAGGGACTCTTTTATCTGAATGCTGGCTGCAGAGGGAATGTGCCTTGCAGTGAAACTCCGGTCAATTGTAACTCAGATGTACGCTGTAACGAACTCTTTCGAACTCTTTTTTTTTAATTACATGCGTCGGCTTGGTAAGACCATTACTTGTTATATGTATTCTGTGTTGTTATTTGTTGTGCTTCAGATGTTTGTGGTTATCATGGCAGATTACTATTTTGTGTAAAAATGCTTCAGCAGTCATCTCTGCGGATACTTGCCTGTGTATCTGGATTTGCACTCCATACCACGACTTCATCCTGTTTGTCCGAGTGGGTCTGTGTGCCAGTTCCATGTTGCCGCAGTTTCTTCAGGCGTGGATGTGTGGGCTTGTAGCTATCTTTGCTTTAGGATTTTTTCTGATTTGCTTTTGTTTTTATCCTATTTTTCTCAAGGTTAAACATGCCCCTTCTCTGTTACTCATGTGAGGAAATTGAACCGAAGTGCTTGCGTGTTTACGGGTTGAACGCTTTTCGACCTTTAAGTGATGGGCTCTGACGAACATAAAGATCGACTGTAAGTGTCAGGGACCGGTGCTCTCATGACAGCGTATGAATTACTAGTTCAACAGAGACGGAAGTTTAATATTCCTTTAATCTACAGAATGCATGGAAATAATTATTTAGAAAGAGACACTCCGATACTGCTAAAAGCTTTAATAATAAGGAGATATGAGGATACAGTAGTTACGGAACAGATCAGGAAACCAAAGAGGCTCCCAAAGAAATGAAATTTAAATAGATGCGTCGACCACAATCACAGGTCTTAATGGTCACCCTTAAATCTATAGTTTGTGACGACTAGGGTTTAATCAATAAAGCAAACTAATTGTTTTAATTATGTTCCGATGTGGTCCTTGAGAGCTACAGAGTGTTAGGATTTTCATTCGGAGTGAAGTTTTAACTACTCAATTGAACTGCTTGATTGAATTGAACTAGCCTGTCGTCAAAATTGAATTGGTCTAGTTGTTTAGGAACAGATGATTTATTGGTGACTTATGAAATGTGCTGGCCAACGTAGGGTTTTATATACTTTCTGTATAAATACAATTATCTTAAAATATTAATGTTCAAAAGATTGAACTCTGCATAAATTGTGATACCAAGGAAAGCTTTGGCTTCTCAGGATTTTAATTTTGTTTTAATGCCTTTGATCCACTGATGAAGGTATTTCATGTTAGAGCAGGCTTTTCATCCATCCATTTCTAAACTGTTTTTCCAATTCGGGGGCACGGGGGAGCTGGTGCCTAGAAAAGAAAGGGTGCAAGGCAGGATTCACCCTGGATGGAACACCAGTCCATTGCAGGGCAGACCCAAACACAGGCCAACATAGTCCCAGGGCATAATATTTCTTTAGTATGTGCTACAGTCTTGTTTCTCAAATTTGAACTTTATCAGAAAGGGTTTCTAGCAGCTTGGTATGATAGGTACAGGTTTTTCAAAAGAGATTTATTGTGGGGTGTTTTCAATTCTCTTGGTGTGTGTGGCTGAGGGTCAGTAACTACTGACTCTAGACTTTAATGAGTAAGGACAAGCACTATTCCACAGTGTGTTAACCAGAGCACATTAGAGAATTTTCTTTGTGCTTTGGTTCTCAGTAAACCTGCAGCAGGCTTTGATGCCATAGTGGAAACCTTCCAATGAATACCTTTACTTAAAGACTGCACAAATTGCACATACTGTACCACACACAATTGAAAGAATTGAAAAGCACCCCACAATAAACCTCTTTTGAAAAACCTGTACCTATCATACCAAGCTGCTAGGAACCCTTTCTGATAAAGTTCAAATTTGAGAAACAAGACTGTAGCACATACTTAAGAAATATTATGCCCTGTGACATTAAAACCAAAATACTAAAAAGAACTGAAAATTGATGATCCTGTTAAACAGTAAAAATGTGGTATGAAAAGAGGGAAGGCTAATAAAAGGCAAACTGTCCACACTGCCCTCCATCCTGCAGGGCCATCAGAAAACCTGGCCATATTGATTCTGACTTCTCAAGACAATCATAGCCAATGATTGAGAAAACAAAATCCAATCAAGGTACGGAATTACGAGATGGCTGGTGAAAAAGACTGAACATCATATATTCTTTCCTATATTCTGGAGAGCATTAGTATTCTACATATCTGTTGCGTTTAGGTTCTGGTGCCTGTGCCAATACAAATTAATGGCATGGTTACAGTGCAACGCAAGGCAGTGTTGATTAAAATGAATACCATTAAAGTTTTTCTTTACTGGTTAACAGATTAAAGGAGATTTTCTTTCTTTTGCTGTTTTTGCCAAGCCTTGCTTAGTCTCCATAATAAACTGTTCCTTTCTAAAGAAGATTCTGAAAGTACAAGACTCAATACTGTTAATTGAGCATTTGGGTACTAATGCAAACTCACTGATTTTTTGTGATTTCATTATTTTATTAATTAATTGGCAGGAAAAGTTTGAAAAACAGGTAAATGCCCAAACTTTTCAGCTTCAGCAGTGCTATGGAAACAAAAAAAACATGTTTCTTCACTTCTGTTAAAACAAAAAAGCTAATTAAAAAAAAAACTGTTACCATCTGTTCACCTGGGAGACTAAAACCCTTAACAAAATGTTTTGTGTAACATTTTAATTAACAGCATATTTCCAAGTCCCTGGCACCTCAGCAATAGTAATAATCTCCCAAAGTCAATATCTGTAGTTTTAGATATGCAACAAATATTTATTCACAGAAACAAGAAGCATATGAAACTAATTTTCTATTATTCACTGCTGGTGTAGGATGTTTGAGTGCAACATCCTGTAACTTTTTTTAAAGTTATATTTTTGATGCTGGCATTTTTTCCTGCCAATAACCTGACACGAGGTTTATACTTGCAGGATTATGTCAGATGAAACTGTTGATTGTGACTTTCTTTTAGAGTTTATTGGCAAGATTAAAAACATAGCATTGAGAATTAGCCTTAAACAGCCTGTGTTAAAAAGAGTAGGTAACAAATTATTACAGTGTGTAAATTATCAAGACACAGATCAATAAATGATTTTGAAATGCATATTGACAGAAAATGGGAAGTGAATAATTCTTTTTAAATGAGACCTCTACTTCACTTTGCCTCGTGTTTACGGAGCTCATGAAGCTGGGATCTGCAGAAGGATGGCAATGGTGTGGAAAATGAAATGCTGTATTAATTTTTCAATGTGTTTGGGAAGGTCCTCTCCTTCCTGAGTCCTGATGAGTTCCAAGAACTGTTGGTTAGGCTCAACAATCAGCTTCACTTGAAACTCATAGAATAGCCCATTTGCACACACGTAGGCACTTAGCTGAGGGAACTTTCTACCCTAAATTCGGCTAATTCTGCATGTCTGGTGGTATGGTACTGTGGAATATACAATTACAAAGCCATTACTCTGTATCCAACTTTAAGCACTGACAGGCGAAGTGAGGATTGTTTCCTTGCCACATAAGAACGTATAGATTTTTCAAACAAAAGGAGACCCTTCGGCCTATCTCTATCAAGCTTTGTACTGTAGCTAGAGGTTTTCATAACTAAATGATCTGAGGATGTTATCCAGCTGTTTCTTGAAAGAAAATGAGGTATCAGTTTCAACAACATGGCTAAGTAACCTGTTCCATACTACCACCCTCTGCCAGTCTGTGCTTTGGCACAATTACTGCTTAATACTGCATTTTGGGCTGTCTCTGGAGAGCTTTGTCTTCACCACTGTGGGGTGTCATCGGAAGCCTCTAAAACTTTCAGAGACTGAGCACTTCGATTCCACACAAATCGTCATCTTTACATTTTGTTTGTAATTTATGTTTTTATGTTTACCTGCATGTAATACTCTGCACCCATCTATATAGAAATATGATATGCCAGGTGTTTTCCTAGTTTTAAAATTTGTCTTAATCATTTTAAATGTATTAGAAGCTTTTACAGTGTTAAACCTGTTACAGGTAAACCTGTATTTTTGTATTGTGTGGAAACATAACTACATATACTAGAATCTAGATCAATGATATAACTTATGAGGAGTTGTTCCCTGTGGTAGTCCACTAAAGACATCCTCCAGTTTCCCCTATGGTCCTGTATGGTGGGTGGTCAGTAGGAGGAAAAGGGTGGAATGAAGCAAATTAGAGATTAGTTCTCTGCTCTGATCTCTTAAGAGATCAGCATCATAAGAGTGAAAAATATTAGTATGAATAAATCATTTTAGGTTATTAAAGCATTTGAAAGATTTTTTCTCTATATATAATATGCTCTATATTTTCCCTTATTATTGAGCAGCATAAGTCTTAGCATAATCTCAGGGAAAGCATATGTTAGAGTGTCATTCCTGTAAGAAGGCACAGCACTTACAGGTTGAAGCACTCCTGGATAAAGTGTGTTAACTTGAGGTTAAACTACAGGGAGGACAGAGGGCTCAGAGAGTGTCCAGCTGCCCACACTTCCTTCACTCATATTGAGGGTTCACAAAGTTATCTGATAGAAAGATAACTAAGAGATGGAAGAGAGGCCCTGCTTGGAACATAAAGGAGAAGACACGTTTGAATTGATTCAGACCAAGAAACTATTACAGGACTGACATTGCATAGTTTGTGCAGACACAGGCAATGTGTAGTGAGATCCGAGCAACCTAATCCTGAGACTGACTAAATGCCCACAGGCAGCAAAACTGGCCATGGCTCTTATTAGTTTATATGTATTATATGTGGTTTTGCCACAGTTAGTTTTGTCTCCAGGTGATACCAAAGGTTTTTAGCAAACACTATAAAAGAAGCTGATTTATAACTAAATTCAGGATTGGGCAAACAAAAGGCAAATGACACTTAATACACTTAATATGTAGACAAATATAGTGTTATATGCAGGTAGCAGAAAATATGCAGGTAGCATGGGGAATCTCATCCCTGTCAGGTTAGTGGCATAGCCCACGCCAGCTCATAAAATTCCTTTTTACCTTTTAAAGTTCATTTCCTAATAAAAAGAAAGGATGGTAGATTATATGATGTTTTCAATGAGCTGCAGTATCTCTTCTGTTCCTCTGGTGTTGGGGGGACGTATCCCAGATGGTTGAATAGTGATAGTGACATCAGCCAACAATCTGCCTCATAG